ATTAATTTTGACTTATAATTATTTTTATTTTTATGTTGTTTTGTACTTATACATTTTAATTTTTTTTTTTTAAATTTTTGTATACATACATTTTTAAATAATATCTTAATTAAAACCACAAAATATGAATAAGTCGAAGTAGATTTTACTCATTTCATACAATTCATTATAATCGTGGATATATATAACATTTAAATTGACACGTTGAAAAATTTCGAGTTTTTTTAAATTAAATTAAAACCACTTGATTTTACTGATGGGGGGCCCCATCAAAAAAATTTGCCACGGGCCCCGGATGGCCTAGTTACGCCACTGATAAGTTGTTTTTTTTTTTCATTGTAAATAATAAAAAATTACATTAATATTAGATATACGTTAGAAATAATTGAAATAATTTTAATTTTAACATCGAATGGCTTTTAAATTTTTGAAATCGATCTAACCGTTTTTGAGAATGTTAACATAGGTATGGAACCTATAAAACTATATATAAATTTTGTACTTATTATATTAAAATCTCTATAAAATATTTGATAATTTGATGTGTATATGTCAAATGAACATAATAACTGAATTAATATAAGCGATTGAAAATCATTCATAAAATCATACTTTTATGGTGTTTAGTGTTTTATAATCGTATTGAGAATAACAGTGAGAATTATCAAAAAAATAAAATAAAAACAATAATAGAGAGATATCAGTTATACTTATAAGATACGCGATCAGTATTTTATTTAATAAAATATCATTATCCCTTATTGAATTTATATTTTTAGAATATTTACTTGGTAATAATTTAGTTTTAGGTTATTTATTGAAAAGCAGTATTAGAGGTGAGGCATATCTTATATTATAAGATATGCGATTAATATTTTATTATTAACTTATCATCTCTATTACTTATAGAATTTTAATCTTTCATTTATTACTAATATTTAATTTATACCATATCAACTTTTTACAAAAATGGATATTTTTTCAAGCACATTGACTGGTAATAATTCTGTAATTAATAATTGTTCTTTAGAATATAGTGATATCCAAAATGCATCTATGAGTATTACAGCCGAATCCTCGAGAGAGTATTTCTTCAGATTTTCAGTTCGAGGATTTATTTCACATAGTCGATGGTACAGTTAAAATAAATACATCTTATAAAGAAGCATTTTTGAAGTGTTTTAGGAAAGCTGCAGTATATCCTTGCGATTTGAACTTTCGTTATGCACGTGTGAAAAAAACAAGTGCTCATATAAAAACTTATTGCCCCAAGAATCGCAATAAAAGGAAGTGAAGAAAGTTGGAAATTGCATGATATTTAATGCTAACATAAATTTTCATCCTGATTAAAAAATTATTGAAAAAGTTTTAATCACACCTGAAGGTAAAGTTAATCATGGTACAGTAACTAATCCAATTATTAGGTGTAGGCAACTAGGAGCAAAAGATAGAGATGATTTAAAAAAAAAGCTGAAACATCAGCATTCTACGATATGAAAGCAGAATTTCTTGAAGCATATCATGCGTTCGGTAAAGTATACAATTTCCTTCACAAGTTTGCTTGCATTTTAGATGTAATGCTACATCAGTTAGAACAAATTAAAAAACCTCAACATAAGCAATTTTTACGTGGCTGTTTAAACTTTGTTCCCATAATAACAAGTCATAATCCATTTGCTATATTAAATAAGTATTTTCAAAATAATGAAGAAGCAGTACTGCATTTTGATGCAACGGGTAGTTTAATAAGAAAACCTTTTGAAAAATGTACCAGAATTTATTTAAATTGAGCTGTATTGCCAGTCACCACAAGTACAGGTCGTTATACATATCCCTAATATTTTATATCACATAAATATAACGTTAGAACGATCGAAAACAGTCTTAGAGATTGTGTAGATGAATTTGGCGGTCGTTTGAATTTTAATCGAGTCGTTTGAGACCACAGCTATGCAAGCATTCATGCAATAATTCAATAAATCAAATTTAAATGATTATATTAATAAGTGTCATATGTTCTTAAATAAGAAATTTTCGAACAATTTTACAGAAAACATAACATTGCATTTATGTTGCAGTCATTTCACCAAGAGACTGTCATATCATGCAAAAAAAATTGCAAACGGTAATAAGCAATTAGAATCGTTGTCCGCAAGATCAATTATTAGGAGAAAAATGTTGAGATTTGAACTATGCTCAAAAAATGTTTGCTCATATTGTGTGGATTTTAAGTAGTGAATATCATAATAAGAAATAGATTAGCGATTCAGAAAATTAATCAGTTAGAAAATGAAGAATCATTAATAAGCCTCAACAAGATAATCTCAACAAATAATGATGAATTGGAAATAACAGAAGACCCTATATCATGAGAAGAATTTTTGAAAAATAGTCTATTTTATAAAG